AAGAAAGTTGAGACCAACTTCCGGTATAACCGGAAGTGCCGCCATCTTGAAAATATTTTCATTTAGAAGGACTTAATGGTTTATGGCTATGTACCAATTTTCAAATAAATACAATTATTCCAACTCCCAATACTTCTAAAGTGGGGTTTAGACAGAACAGCCTGTATAGTACATCTAATTAGAACAAAGAAGGTGCAATTGACCATTTTAAGCAAAAAAAGAGTCTTAAAACAAATACTTTTATAAAAATGTAATTTTAAGTAAGATTAACATGCATTTCTCCTATATGGTGCAATGGTTGATTAGTAAACCTAAACCTCAAAAAAACATATTTTGAAAACTACTCGGTATATTTTTTAAAAAATTTGGATTCTACGTAATAAAAAGATGCTCTACACGATGGTGATAAAGAAAAAAATAATACTCGTAGGGTTTTTCTTAGATTACTTCATTTACTTCGAACTTCTTCAAACACAAAAAGTCCGCCAATATTTAATTTCAAATTGCGTATCATTCTAAAGGGTCCATCCCCTTAGAATGGCCTTTATTTGAAGAAAATCGGCCTAATAGTTATTGAGTAATGATTTTTTTAAATTAAAGTATTTCAAATTCATTTAAATTAGAAAAAAATTATTTAGTTCAAAGTGTGTGGACTTTTTGAAAAAAAATTTAGTGCATTTGATTTGTCTCACTGAGACGAACAAAATGATATATAATTTGTCAAATTGTTGAATTTTTTTTGTCGCCCCCAGTCGATTTTAATAAATTAACGCTTTTCATGAGATCAACTTTAAATGAGAGTGAATTTTCAGTAGTAATATCCTAAATTGTCGATAATTAAAATCAAATTAGAATCAATTTGGCATGCACGAGAGGTATTTTGCAGACTATTTCCCGAACAAAATTTACAAAAACAATATTTTCATTATGAGAAATTAAAAAATAACAATTTAAGTCAAAAAAAATTATGTCATGATGACGTAGAATTGGGTAATATTCAAATTACTTTGTGACGTGGCAAATGGGAGATTATACAGCCCCAAACAAAAACCTTTTACACCGGAACTGTTACGAAATAGTTTTTGTGCCGTTTTTAAAGAAATTATTACAATAACGAGTCAGTCTTAGCCAAGCTCTCGTACGAATCACTTGTCCGGATAAATTATTAGTTATTTTCCCGTGGTTCAGTGCGAAATTGTGTAGACATAGGGGCTGTATTATCAGTGTGTGTTGGGTCTTTTCGGGTGCCTAATAGACATTTAGTAGTGCGCGATTTTTTAAATTTCGAGTGATTAGTGAGTGCCAATGAGGGAAATGGAGAAGACAATCGTGCTACAAGGGTCCGGATTAAAGGGTAAGTCAACAATAACCTTTATTTTTTTTAATTTATAATATTAACACTTTTTAAATTCTATTTATTATTTTCAACTAATTTAATGACATATTAAACTAATTTTGTGTTTCTTTATTTGCAGTAGGTCCGTGTAAGAAGCAGAGGCCAATTGCTACAAAGGGTAGCAGAAAAAGATGCCATAAAGGTTAGTGCATTTTGTTTTTATAATTTTTGTTTATTGCAAAGTGAAGTGTGAAAATTTGTGATTTTTTAATGCAACAGTAAGTATTTATTAAATTATAAATAAAAATTAATTGTGATTTCCCGTTATCTTATTTTCTTTTATTCCAATAAAAATCGTAAGTCAGAAAACACTAATTAATCAAACATCTAACTCTTTGTTATTGATTAAGTTTATTTTCCAAGGTGGAGTATTATTACATACACCTGTTGATTTAAGACATTTTAATGGTGAATATTCAACAGGTATGTAATTAAATCCCATCAACGACACGCCAAAATAAACACCGAAAGAAAATATACACAAACGGGTAATGTTTGCCAAAAAACACCGCAAAATTAATCCTCTAATAAGAAAATGCGTTAAATATAAAACCGTTTAAACCTCTTTTTAACGAGTAAACACCTAAATGCTGCACAAATTTTGTCACAAAAAAATTAATTACAGTGGAACCTCGGTAAATAGAAGTTCTGCATATCGAAATTTGAAATCGAAAGACCTGTGAAAGCTGTTTCGATTTTTTTTCTGTCACCCCCAAGACAAAATAAAATGTATATCTACATACATGTGCATTTTAAATTTTTGTTGTACTTTTATTTTCTTTATGCCATAAGAAGTTAATTTTTTAATAAAAAAATAAATAAAATAAAAAGCAATATAATATATCTCAAAAGCACGTAAGTCAAAGTAACGAGGTTCTACTGTAATATGTAAACCATTTTTTTGTGTTTTTTTACTTGCTATTTTATTTCATGTTTACCAATTGCAAACTTGCTCCTCCAATTATTAAATATTGAGAGTAAACTTTATATTTATTTATTTTATCTAAGGTTCAAAATTTCACAATAAAAATATTCGAAATCTAAAATTCTAGTTTCGGAAATTTAATTTCTCCCCTCATTTTCATTTTTGAAGTATCTAGGAATTTTAAAACAAAAAATTTCAATGCTATAACAACTTTAAGATTAGTTATTTTAACTTTACTATCTCAAAATATTTTTTTTAATGAAAATCACTAAAAATTCTGTTTTTCTAAGCTTTTAGAAACTGGGATTATACTCTACTCCAGTCTAGTCTCATTATCATTTTCTTATTCTATTACATTCTATTTTTCTTAAAATTGTATATGTTCTAGACATTTTCAAACTAAACCACTTTTCAAAACCGTTAATTTTCAATTGTTTAAATTGTTTCTAACTTTATAGTTTTTAAATGTTTCTCATTTGAACTACTTCGATTCCAGAATTTTATTAAAAGTTGTTTATTAGAGCTTGCTATAAACCTTATTTTTCAATTTCTAGAGTTTCTACTCAAAACTTTTGATAAAGTTCAAAATTTCAAAATAAAAATATTCAAAATCCAAAATTTTTAAAACAAAAACTTTCAAATCTATAATTCTCAGATTAGTTATTTTAACTTAACTTTTCAATTTTTTTTTAATTAAAATCATTAAGAATTCTGGTTTTTTGGGATTCTAAACTTTTAGAAACTCGATTTGTACTCCAGTCTATTCTCATTATCATTTTCTTATTCTTATTCTATTTACATGCTATTCTAATTTTTTTAGAAAATTTCAAACTAAACCACTTTTCAAAACCGTAAATTTTCAACTTTTTAGTTGCTAGTTTTTAAATGTTTCTCATTTGAGATATTCAAAAACTGTTTTTTTTTAATTTGAACTTCTTTCAGAATTTTATTAGAAGTTGTTTATCAGATCTTAGCTATGAACCTTATTTTTCAACTTCTAGAGTTTCCATTCTAAAACTTTTGATAAAGTTCAAAATTTCAAAATAAAATTACTGAAAATCTAAAATTCTTTGCTTTTTATTAATTCTAAAGTTTTAGAAATTTGACTTCTATTATTCCTGCAGTTCTAGAAATTTTA